CATCTTGTGTTTAAGAGTCTACAAGACATACATACTGAAGTATTTATAGATGAAATTATGATAGGGACTTCAAAATAATTGAGTGGAAAAGGAATAGAGAAGGATGTAGAATACATGTAAAACAAGACAAATTGTTTTGATGGCCATGTATTGATAATAGTTGTTGAGTGATGAGTACATTGTTTTCTTGACTTTTGTATACATGTAAAATTTCCTCAAATAAAAAATAATCTTAAACCTTTTGTAAAAAAAAGAATATACTTCAGAAAACTTTGGAAGAAAACACTCAGAAACTAAGAAGTGGTTATTTGTGTTTGAGTTTTGACATTTTTAGAAAAAGCTAAAATTTCAAAAAATTTAATGGAAAAATACCAATAATAACTTCATTCCATCAATATCTGGTTTCCTAAATGAACAATTTTGTAGCCTGAATGCATCAGCAATGTTATATGCTAGAAGAGGGCTATCACAGGAACATGGATCAGCATAATCAATGAAAAAGCATAAAAGAGCACTAAAATATGCAAATGAAATAAATTAGAGGTAGCTAAACTGTAACTCGTTATAAATTAAAACGTATATAAATGAAGGCTTTTAGTAAAGTTGCAGAATACAAAATCACCATGAAAAAATCAGTTATATGCAGGACACGGTGGTACACTCCTATGATCCAGCAACCCAGGAGGTTGAGCCAGGAGGATCCTGAGTCTGAAGCTAGCCTGGAGAACTTTGCAAGGCCCTGCCTCAAAATAAAATAAAAAGGCTGGGGGTGTAGCTCATTGTTAGTGTCCTTAGGTTCAATACTTACTAGCCCTCCCCCACACCCCAAAAAAGTCAATTATGTTTCTTATTAACTAACAATGAACAATCTGAAAAGTAAATTAAAGAATTTTATTTATTATAGCATCAAAAACAATAAAATACTTAGGAATAACTTAGTAGTAAGCTTCACCAAGGAGACAAAGGACTTGTACATGGAAAACTACAAAATTTTGCTGAAAGAAATTATAGAAGACACTAATAAATGAAATGACATCCTATGTTCATGAAGTGAAAAAGAATACTATTAAGACACCAACATTCTTCAAAGTGATCTACAGATTCAATGTCATTCCTATCAAAATCCCAATGTTGTTTCTTGTAGAAGAAGAAAAATCTGTACTAAAATTCACAAGTAATCTTAGGGGATCTGAATAGCCACAACAATTTTGAAAAAGAACAAAACTGAAGATCTTAACACTTCTTGATCTCAAAACTTGTTACAAAGCTACAATAATCAAAACACTGTGGTATTTCCATAAAGAAAGACCAGTAGAATACAATGGAGAAGCCAGAAATAAATCCTGTATAGGGTCAAATGATTTCAAGGATGCAAGATCATTCAAAGAGAAAAGGACAGTCTTTTCAACAAATGGTGTTAAGAAGACTGAATATCCACATGCAAGATTGTAGCTGGGCATTTATACCATATGTAAAATTTAACTTAAAATGGATCAAATGCTTACATGTAATAGTTAAAACTATAAAACTCTGTGAAGAAAACATGAGTTGAAAGCTTTATAACATGGATTTGTTAATTATTTCTTGGATATGACAGAGAAAACAGAAAGGACCACAATGAAATACCACTTCACACCCATTAGGATGGCCACCTAAAAGAACTGAGAGCATGGTCTCAAAGAGATACTTGTTTATATTATTCACAACAGTTCAAAGATGGAAGTAATTCAAATGGCTATTGCCAGATGAATACATAAGCAAAAGGTATATACATATAATGGGATAATATTTGCCTTAAAAAGAAAATTCTAACACATACTCAACATGAATGAACCTACAAATCATTATGTTATGTGAAATAACTAGTACTGAAAGGACAATGATTATATGGTTCCACTTATATAAGGTATCTAGAGTAATCAAATTCATAGATAACACAATAGAATGTTGGTTGCCAGGGGCTTGGGGGAAGAGAAAAATGGGAAGTTACTGCTTAATGGCAACAGTTAGTTTTGCAAAATGGAAAGAGTTCTGGCAACAGTTGGTGCTGATGGTGTCACAAAAACAGGAATGTACTTGATGCTACTGAAATGTACACTTTAGAATAGTTAAATGACAAATAGGATGTTATGTTAAATTTTACCACATTTTTAAAAAGTAAGTACCCTCCTTGTTGCTACCAAAGGAGAGATAGAAACTAAGAATTTTATGTTTTCTCCTAGAAATCCTACAGCCTTTTTTTTTTTTTTTTTAACAAACATAAAGGGAATAATAAAAAGTAATCGGGGGCTGGGGTTGTGGCTCAGTAGTACAGTGCTTTCCTAGCATGTGTGAGGCATTGGGTTCAATCCTCAGTACCACATATAAATAAAGGTCTATCAACAACTAATAAATATATTTTTTTAAAAAAGTAATCAGTATGTGAAAGTTCTGTTAAAAGATTTTTGGAGCATCCCATCAACCATAGCTAGGATAATACACAGCAGGCACTGAAAAACACATTATGGATGCTGATTCCAAATGACAGCAACAACTAACATATATTGTTTACCATGTGTGACATTCCTCCAAATACTCTACATCTATTAAGTTATTTAATATAATGAAGATTATATTATTGGTATGTTTATTTTATCCATGAGGAATATGAGGCATTATAAAGTTAAATAAATTGAACAAAGTCACTATCTCTATTCAAATTAGATGACAGAAATGACTTTTAAACACTAGTAGTCTAGATGCAGAATTCATGGAATAAGACACTATATCTCATGCCTCTTTCTTAACCTATTAAATACACTCACAATCAATAGAGGTAGGCACTCAAGATGGAAGTTTTAGAGTTAATCCTAAAGGCACGATGTCAAACACTACAGCATAGCATACAGAGCTAATCTACCTAAGTATCATATCCTATTCATTTCTCCAAATTTCCACCCCTTTCCTCTTTGAGCTGTATCAAAGTACCTTTTATTCTTTGACTAATATCAAGTTCTTATCTCCAAACTTTTGCATATGCTATTCACTGTATTAAGAAAATTCCCTCTCCTCTACCATTTTTATTGCCTCATTAGTTAAACTTACCCAATTGTGAAGTCTGTCTGACAGTAACCCCCACCACACATGCACACACTCCTGGTTTTTTATGTTCTCAGATGACATGGTACACTAAATTAAATTCTAAATTAGAAATTTCCTTAAAATAGGAATATCTATGATTTGTGCTTATTCATAAAGTTTGGCATATAGTAAGCATCCAATATGGTGGGCACAGTGATGCATACCTGTAATCTCAGAAATTCAAGAGGCTGAGGACACAGGAATATAGTAAGTTCAAGGCCAGCCTTAGTAATTTAGGGAGACTTTATCTCAAAATTAAAAAATTTAAAATAACTAGGGATCTAATGTAGCTCAGTGGTAAAGTATTCCTGGGTTCAATCCCTATGACAACCCCCCACCAAATGATTTAAAAAAACAGTAAACACCCAATATGCCCTTGTAGATTAAGTGTCTCCAGGTATATTGGGGCTTCCAAAGTTGTTTTTAGGACTTACATTTCAGAATCCATTAATTAATAATGAGGCTATCATCATGCAATTCTATCAGAAGCTAAATTTGCCATGTGAAAGTTCAAACATAGACCCACAGACTGTAATTCAGAATTAGGTTTACATTAAGTACTGCAGTACTAAACCCACGGTTGCAATATGTAACCAAGAAACAATTTTAGGTGGGCACAGTGGTATACACCTGTAAATCCAGCTACTGGAGAGGCTGAGGCAGGAGGATTACAAGTTTGAGGCCAGACTGGACAACTTAGTGAGACCATGCCGTAAAATAAATAAATAATAAGAGAGAGAAAGAAAGAAAAATAAAAGGTCTGGGGATAAAGCTCAATGGTAAAGTGCCCCTGGGTTCAATTCCCCAGTACTAAAAAAAAAAGGAAATAACTGCAATACTACGAAGCATTTCTCATACACAAGATCAGTGTACTAAACATAAATATTCCAGAATTAAAGTATATCAAAGTTTGATATCAAATCTTGAGCTTACCATTAACAGAAGTTTCCTTTTATATAATCATCCTAGCTACAATTGCTCAATCCTATATAGTCACTGCATTTCATATATAAGCCTTTTTTTTTTAGTTCTTATTTCATTGTACGGTAATTGGTTTTTTAAAATTTATTATTTTAAAAAAATTTTATAGTTGTAGATGGACACAATGTTTTTATTTTATTTATTTATTTTTATGTGTTGCTGAGGATTGAACCCAGTGCCTCACACATGCTAGGCATGTGCTATCACTGAGCTACCACCGCAGCGCCCCCCCTGTAATTATTTGTTTAAATGACTACCTCTACTGGACTGCAGGATCTTTGAAAGTAAACTACCACTATCTCAGTGCTTAGCAGCAAAAAAAAAATTTCCAAAGGTTGTCAAAAGACTTAAGCCCAATAATACTTTTTGTATCTGTAAATAATCCTGCAAATAATTTTACAGTAGAGAATTAAGTTCAGAGGTTACATAACTTGGCTGAGATCCCACAGCAAGTAGGCAAATGAAATTCAAATTCAAATCCAGGTCTTCAGTAAATAAATTCTAATTCTTTTTCACCACCCATTTCATGTTACCATAAACAACTACAAGCTGTTTAAGAACTATGTCCTATAGTAGCAGCTGTAGAATTTTAACAATTCACCCATAAAAATGAATCTCAAAAAAATTAAAACAGTAAATGCTGCTGAAAGATGGAATATTTGAACTTAAAGAAGATCATTTCTCAGAGGTGGGGTTGTGGCTCAGTAGTAGAGTGCTTGCCTCACTGTGTGAGGCACTGGGTTTGATTCTCAGCGCTCCAAATAAATAAATAAATAAAATAAAGGTTCATCAACAACTAAAAAAAGGTAATTTCTTCTCTCTATAAATACATAAAACTATCATACAAAGTTACTATTATAGTCTCAATAAAATGTTGCTGTAAGTATTTAAGATGTCACCTTGTACTTCTTTATCATGATATTCTTTTAGTTTTGTCCAAAGTTCCTTAAAGTCATTAGATATATCTGCAGAATTCGGGCTTCCACAACTGCTTCCAGAGATGTTCATCTTGCTTAACAGGTTCCACACTTCTATTTGCTTAATGTTTTCTGACCTTTTTTGTTACATTATATAGGTGTGAAGTTGTCTTTAGACAGCTGAAATACCTGAAACGACAGATTGCAACATAAATAAACTTTGTTGTTCACCTTTATGTAATTTGAAGTCAGGATGAAACACAAGCCCAGTTGTTTTAAAAGTTTTCCTTATTTACCCACAATCAATCATTTTGAGAATTTGGGAAGGGTTGGTGGGGTGTGAGGAAATAAGATAAACCTCTTGATTTTAGTTATTTGGCCTTTACATAGGGGAAATATCTTATTGCACCTACAGAGAAGTAATTACCTATGTTCTGTTAAACTAAAAGGACTGATACTGACAGGTCTGTACTCATTCAGTCAGTATTGATTTACCATTATAAAAGAATTTATTGCTTTCTTAACTTTTGAATTGATGTAGAGTACAAAACTATACCAAGAAACCATTAAAAAAGTAAAATGATGCCAGGAACTTTGGTGCACACCTTCAATCCAATCAACTCTGGAGACTGAGGCAGGAAGATCTCAAGTTCAAGGCCCAACTCAGCAAAGAGGGAAGACACTGTTACTACTTGGTAACCTATAAATACTACAGAAATAAATATATAGTTTTATCAAGCTTTTAAAAACTGATATTGGACTTTTAAAAAACAATTAGCAAAAACTAGCCAGACCCCAGTGGCGCACATGTATAATCCCAGCAGCCTGAGAGGCTGAGACAGGAGGATCGAGAGTTCAAAGCCAGCCTCAGCAAAAGTGAGGCACTAAGTAACTCAGTAAGACCCTGTCTCTAAATAAAACATAAAATAGGGCTGGGGATATGGCCCAGTGCCCAAAATTCAATTAAAAAATTAGCAAAAACTGAACATATACTGTATTTCAGATATTAGGGAATTATAAATTTTCTTGGGTTTGATAATGATATAGTCACTAAAAACACCTTATCTGCCAAAGAAATATATACTGAAGTGTGTATAGATTAAGCAATATATTCTTTGCGATTGGCATGAAAATATTCCTACTAATACAAATAATAGGTGCTGGGTGGAAAGATGAAATAAAAAATGCTAAACTTTCACAATTATTGATGCTGAACAAGGGGTATGTATATGAGAGGGTTCATAATTGCACTGTCTCTCGTGTATACTCATTTCCATGTTAAAGTTTTAAAAAATGGGATTAGGTGAACTACATTAATACAGCTATTTCCAAAGAAGCTGGTATTCTACTATCTTTTAACCAAAAAAGATAAATTACGAGGCTTACATTATTGCCAATAAAACCCACCAATTATTATGTGTATAAAAGCAAAAGGCTATGTTAGTTTACATTTATTATACTTAATCTTCAGAACAACTCTATAAAACAGCCACAATTATAAATTTCATTTTAGAGTTGAGGAAACAGGTGTAACAGTCAAGTTGAGAGCCCAAAAAATACCTAGGTAGCAGGAAAAGCAACAACAAAAAAGTAAAAATAAGCTAACTGTTCCAATTAAGTGAACAGTTTAAAGGTTTAATTGAAACTTTTAAATTGCACAGCATTAGTTTAAAACCAATGAATTTAAGCGTCCTTAAGAAACAAACTAAAACAATCAAATGCTTTAAACACACACACTCTCTTTATCAAAAGCAAACTTGCAAATGGCTGTGGCTCAGGAAACCCTTTCCTCCTCCCTGCCCACTCAGCGCTTCTGGCTGACACTCTCTTGTGGCACTGAACCGTCACCGCTGCACAGTGAGCCTTGATCTCTCAGAACGCACATCTTGCCACCCGAATTGCACCAGGGGCTCCAAGACTAGTGATAATTCATTCCTGTGTATTCCCTAGCACTGTAAGCCAGCACACTGAAGGCATCCAATAAGATATTTACTGTCGCAACACAGTCCTTTCACACCGGTGAGGCAAGAGGAACTGCCCAAGGCACTTGCAGGAGTGCAGCGGTTCTCACTCCCCTCCCGGTCTCCACCAGCCTCTCCTCAGCACCCCGCACAATCCGCCCGCGCTTCTGGTGAAAATGCGCCCAAGGCCGGCGCGGGAATCGCATACGGCGCGGTCGGCGCATGCGCGCGGGCGTGCCGGGCGCTGGGAGGCGCGTCCTCAGCCCGCGCGGGAGAACAAGAACCACACAAAATGCTAGCTGGGGGCATCTCCAGAGTTCAGACTCAGCCCAGCCTACGTCCTCACAACCCGAGTGCCTGTGGTACTCGCCAAACCCCGAGAGCCAAACCCCTACGACGAGCGCGCAACTCCAGACCGGAAATAGTCCCTAGGACTGGGCACTCAGGGTGGGGGAAAGAAGATTCCTCGTACTCACAGCTTCCAGGACAGCCTCGAAATCCTCGAGAGCCCCAGGACAGGAGCAGATGCCCTCTGGGGTAGTAAAGGGACAGCAGCTCCCTGTTCCCCGTCGCCCCCTTCTTTCACCAGACTGGCAGACCCTAATCCAGGGCTGGGGGAAGGCCGGAGGGCGGCCGGCCCGGCTTGGAAGCGGCCGGCCCCGCCCAGCCCGGGAGCCCTGCGACGTCACGCAACGTCACGTGACGTCACGCGGGAGTTCCCGCGGCGGTACGCCCTTTCCTCCTCGCTGGCTCTGTCTGGGAGTCTGAAAGAGGGATTTAGCTGGAAGGGTTGAGAGGGTTGCCTGTGAGCAGAAGGGACCGGCCCAAAGAGCTTGGCGTCCGCGACAGCGTTTTGAAGGTGCCCTGAGGAAAACTAAAACTGTTCTATCTGGGAAGCCCCAGCCGTTGGTGTCTGTGAACGCTGTCTTCTCTGTGCATGTGACAAAAGCATATTTCAAGGAAAGCGTGGAGGAGGAGGGTACCAAACCCAGAGTTCAAAATCAGCTGGTGTGGGAGTCAGCCTGATAGTCATTACCTACGGGACTGGTTAATAACGTCCTATTTCAAAATGCTTTTTATTTTGCTGAAGTTAAATGGGAAGTTTCTGGCAAACCTGAAATGAGAGGGAATCAGAAGCGACCGCATTCTTTATTCGTTGGGGCAACACGTTGCTAGGTAATTTTTTAAAAAATCAAAATTTCCTGTCGCTGTTGTCTGATATTCAAACGGATAGTATATTTTTCTATTTATTTATTTTTTATTTTGGAGTACTGGAAGTTGAACCCAGGGTCTCCTTACTACTGAGCTACATCCCCAGCCCCCCACCCCTTTTGAGACAGGGTCTCAGTGATTTGCTGAGGCTGACCTTGAACTTGCTATCTTCCTGCTTCAGACTCCCTGGTCGCTGGCATTATAGGCATGCAGTACGACACTCAGCTATCTTAATTTCTGAATGTAGCATTTTTTGACCATTTAGTTCTACAAATCAAGTTGAAAATAAACTATAAAGCACTTTATCTTTGGAATACTTTTCTGTTATATTTTCAAGACCTGGGAAGAAGACAGGGACAATAACTTTTAAGGTGTAATTCTTCGAAAATTATAAATACAAATCATAAAGGCAATTTTCCCATTCATCTGACATTTGAAGAATGAATATCATAATTTACTCTTTGATATTGGACATATAAAAGCTGGTGTCTTTAAAGAAGACGCTGAACCGTCCTTGCCCTATTGTAAAAACTTTTTTATTTTCCACCTTTATAAGACTTAATTCATAATGTTTTTTAAAAATGAGCCAGCTATAGTGGCTTTAATCCCAGCAGCTCAGGAGGCTTAGGCAGGAAGACTGCAAGTTCAAAGCCAGCCTCAGCAACTTAGACCCTAAGCAACTCAGCTAGACCCTGTCTCTAAATAAAATATTAAAAAGGACTGGGGATGTGGCTCAGTGGTTTAGTGTTCTTGGGTTCAATCCCCAGTACCACCTCCCCCCAAAAAGATTGAAAAATTGACTATGCCATTTTTAGTACAACATAATTGGCAGAGTTAAAACTTGTATAAATGTTTATAATAGAAATTGGAGTTTTAATATGTGGAAAAAACCTGTAATCAGATTGTCATATCAAAACAGCATCTCTAAAGGACATAGTATTTGTCAGCACAGACGGTGGATGTCTATAATCCCAATGAATCTGGAGGCTGAGGCAAGGGAATGGAAAGTTCCAAGCCAGCCTTAGCAACTTAGCCAGGCCCTAAGCAACTTAGACCCTTTTCAAAATAATAGGGCCGGGGATGTGGCTCAGTGGTAATGGGCCTCTGGGTTCAATCCTTACTATCAAAAACAAAACAAAAATAGTATTTGTGGTCCAAAGAAAAATTATCTGAACAGAATGACCTAACCTGTTCTTAAGACCTTTGCCTATGACTCATTAATTCATTTATGCAAATAGAATCCAAAGATTTCATCCTTGACACTATTCTCCCTTAACCCTTGTACCCAATCTTTTACCAAATCCTTTCAGACATTTAAATCCATCCCTTTTATCACTACCTCCATAATCCTAGCTTCTATTAACTTTTACCTGATCTACTACTATTCTACTTTCCATATCTACCCAATCTACTAACCAACCTAAACCAGTCTCTTCTCTGGAAAATTGTTGAGTATCAATTCTCTATTCATGTATATATTTAATTTTTATTGTATACATGTATTGCTGAAAAAATCATATATAGTCTAATGAGGAGAGTACAGGCTCTGAAGCCAGACTGCTTGGGTTTGAATCCTGCTAATATCCTCAGTGTCACTGGACAGTTTGCTTAACCTCTCTCATTTTTCCTGTCTATAAAATGAAAATAATAATAGTACCAATCTCATAGGGAATGAAGATTAAGTGATATAACATGTAAAGTGCTTAGTGCACTGTTCAGATATATAATTAGTATATGTTCAATAAAAACTAGCCATTAGTAGGGGCTGGGACTGTGGCTCAGTGGCAGAGTGTTGCCTAGCATGTGTGGAGGCACCACATAAAAAAATAAACAAAGGCATGATGTCAATCTACAACTACAAAAAAAAATTAAAAACTAATTTTTACTAGTATTTCTCAGCTAATAGACTGAGTATAACCCCTTTCTAAAGACATAGTTTAAAGGATGAGGAAAAAAAGAATTTCAAACTTTATACCTTCTCCTGCCACCTTAAAGTGTGCCTATTTTGAGGGCATTTTTCTATACTTTAGCTACTGTGCTGTTCTTGAAAAGTAAATCTAATAATGTCACTATGCTGCTTAAACACTTTCAGTGGCTTCCTGTTACTTTTTGAAGAAAACCCCTTTTGAACTGGTAGTAAAAGCAGCTTCATTTCCATATTCTGTTCTTGTGCCTCACAGGTCTTCACATACTGTAGTCTCTGCCTGGAGTTCAACAAACCTACTCCTCCCCTTTGCCTAGCTATGAATTTAATAATCTTTTATTTTGTTTTAATAGTTTCTTCTGTTAGTTTCTCTTATAACAACATGTACTTCCATATCTTACACTTCTTAAAAAGTTTTAGTTATTTAATTTTGTCTCTCCACTAGACATTTAAGTAACAACCATGTCTTTTTTGGCGATGGGTAGGGTATTTAACCCAGGGGCATTTTACCACTGAGGTACATCCTCTATCTCCCCCCGCCCCCCACTTTTTTTTGAGACAGAGTCTCACCAAGTTGCTTAGGATTTTGCTAAGTTGTTGAGGCTGGCCTCTTACTTGTGATCTTTCTGACTCAGGCTCTGGAGTTACTGGGATTACAGGTGTGTGTCACCATGCCCAGCAATAACCATGTTTGTTCATCTTTTTATCTCCAGAAAAAGAACCCAGTGACTGCCACAGAAACAGTACTCTAGATAAATAAATAACTAGGGCATCTCTTCATGACTTATTATTTTTTATGTAAGTGGAAACCTTTGGATATATTAATAAATCTTAGATTTTTCTTTATGAGATTTTATAATGGTCACTTTAACCATGGAAAGGGTGGGCATACTCATAGTTATAAGTAGGAGATAAGCAGATTTCAGACTTATCATGATAGAATAAATTTGAAGTCCCAAAGTTATATGCAGAGAACACATCTTTATCAGAGAAGCAGTTACTTTGAACTCTTCATTAGATTTGGTTTTCATATTTTATGGCTTAAAACAGTACTTGCCAACCTACTTAATTTTGGTATAATTAATACAGTCAATCCCCAATTTGCAATGTTCAGTCTGTGATTTTTTGTTTTTACAATGAAATTGAAATTGATAAGTATTCAGTGGAAACTGTACTTCCAAAATTGAATTTTGATCTTTTCCTAAGCTAGTGATATGCAATATGATCCTCTCTTATGAAACAGGGCAGTGGCAGCAAACCATAGCTACCCATGAGACATGCAGTCACAAGGGGACGAAACCAACACTCTGTAGGATGCTGTGTGGCTAAGGATGTTCAGTAAATTATGTGTGTTAAATGCACTTTTGACTTATGATATTTTTAATTCATGATGGGCTTATTGTAAGTGCAAGGAGCACTTATGCTTGTACTACAAGTTATGATAACAGAATAAGGTTGTTTGCATCTAGAGGCAACAAAGTTGGCACTCCAACCACCTCAGGCCCAATACTGCCACCTCCAGGATTGCAAATTTATTCTCAGCACACCTGTGATTCATTAGAGGACAGTTGTTAGGATGCTCAATTTAAAAGTTATGTGGTGAAGTGTTAAAATGGTGAACTACTTTATATTTATATATTTTTTTTCAGAGAAAATTGTGTGGTAGTAATAAAATGCTAAGATTCTTAAAATTAGAAATCTGGAATTTATGTAGATTTTAAAATCATCTAGCTTTAGCCATTTCAAAAATGAAATTGTTGATTCTACAGTCTATGTTTAACTCCTACAGCTGGGTAACCAAGTATGATGAAGGGGAAATCACCAGGTTAGACTTTTAGATAACACTAAAATTACATGTTTTCAAACCTCATTCAGGACGTTAGTTAATCCCTAAAATAGCCTTTGTTGAGCTCCTTCTATTTCCTTTGCTGTCTTCCATCTTTCACTATTTTCTTCAAGTCTTTCTATGTGGTATTTTCACTTCTAACTAAAACCTAGTCCAGATTAAACCAGACAATTGAACTCAAGCAGTGAGATCTTCCTAAACTTTGTTTTCCCTTTCTCAACCCTGTGAATTAGGCAGGACCACATTGCAGATAAAAATAAAACCCACATCGAATTGCTTCTCATCACCTCCTTTGCATCCACCTTGGTCTAATCCACCAGAAAACTTTTATAAATCAATAGTCTCCATTTTAAAAAAGTTAAACAATTATCTTTCTTTTTTCACTCTTTTCCCTTTCAGAATATTATCCTATGGTGGTCAGAGTGGTCCTTTAAAATGTGCCAGAACATCACATTCCCCTGCTCAAAACATTCCAGGGTCTTCCTATAACATTACAATAAGATCTAAAGCCCTTTCCAAGAAGTCAGGACAAGTCAGTCACTATAGTCTACTGATGTTACTTCCTAAATATATTTTGAGT